TTCAATTACGAATAGCAGCAGCAGTTGCCTGTAGCTCTTTCGACAAAGCCTGACTTCCCTTCTGGCAGGTGTTTTAGAATATTTGTGCCAGAAAAGCTGTGCAATGCAAAACTGATGACAGTTAAAGCTTTATAAGACTTTGTCCATTTACATAACTGAAAGCGTTCTGAGGTTTGTGTTGATTTAGATTGACATACTTCCACTATGTAAGTGTCTCCACTTGGACCTGATCAACAAGATAATAAGGGCTAATTAGAGAGAGGCCTTTTACAAGATGAACCGCCACCTAAAACAACTAAAATCTTAATGGCAGTGTAAAGATTTATATAATAGTTCTTTACATAAACTGCTATGAGTTTTTGAAGAATGCTGCTGGCAGAAACCCACTTTAGTCTGAGTTGCACTTCAACCAGTTGTTAGCTAGTTTGAGTGTAATTCAGGTAATTGCTTATTTCCACTCTTGTGAGACAATCACGCTGAGAATGTGGCAAAATGTCTACTTGCTCACGCTACAGTGAGTCAGCCATTTTGTAGTGGAGTTTGACATTTTAACTCCAAATTTTAATACGCTATTCACGTAGCAAAACTTGCCCGGCCCACTTCTGGCCCCCAAAATGCATTTGGTGCACAAAACACTAAAGACATGCATGTTACTTTATTGGAAATAGACCAATGATTATTTGTGAACCAGGCCTGTGCAACAGGTTGATGAAGGCTAATGCTAATGTCCACAGCTAATTATTGTGGGGGAAAAAAAACTATATTTATCTAGTTTTCTCCAATAAAAACTGAGTTGTCTTCTCCTCAGTGTGAGCTGCTGCTTAAGAAATTATATCACAAGTAGAACTATACTAAATGTTTTATAGCCTTAACAGTCTTTGTTCTACTGGTGGGCAAAAATAGTGAAGTTTCTGTAGCTGTTGCAGAGTGGTTAGGAGATTCCTGTAACTGGAGGATTAATGTTTGATCCCCAATTCCATTTTTTAAAACCAGGGTGTCACTTTTTCCACTTCTTACTTTTAAACATGAGACCTTACATAAAATAAAAATAAAAAATGTCAAAAAGCTTTTTAAGGTTTTTCAGGGCGACTGTTAAGATGTTATTTTTAAGTTTAAATGTTAAATACATGAAAGATAGCTTGTGTCAAACAGATTGCACTTTTGACTGCATGGTTTAAATTTGTGCAGCTCAGTTTGTTTGTTTGTTTTTTATTATTCGCACACTACTCAGTTATTTTTTACATAAATTTTGTCTAGATATTAATTTATATGTCCAAAAATCGACATTTTAACCCCCCCCCCCCAAAAAAAAAAATATATATAACTGAACAGACACTCAGTAAATGGCCAAAATCAGTAAATTATTGTTGTGTATTTTCATGTTTCTTGTTTATCTTTTACAGTATATATGTGATACTTGACTGTATACAATAAGAAGTTGAAGCCAAACCAGTACAATGCCCATGCTATAGACCGTAGTACGTGTTTAAGTCCAAGGAAATAAATGGACCATCTCCCTGTTTTTAAAATAAAAATCCACCTCATATATATTTTTTTTTTCCATGAGTTGACTTCCTCTGATTCTCATAGCTCTTGATTATGTCCATGATTGTGTGTGTGGGAGGACATGAGACATACAGCCCCACATTTCTCCTGAAATAACTCTTGCTCCAAAATATAACATGGCAGGGCTTTTAAACTTAATATTTCTTTCATTTATGACATGTTTACACAGACCCAAAGTGCAGACAGGAAGAGCTGAGCAGAGAGCACCTGCGCGAAACAAAAATGACACGGGGAGGAAACCAACAGAAAACACGCTGAATGCAAGAACAAAAAATGAAACAATAGAAAAGCATGGCTAAATACCTATAAACACGTTTACAAATGACTCATACTACAAATTGAACACACACACACACACAAAGAAAAAAAAACAAAATCAAAAGAAATTCCTGCTTAAACTTTAAACAGAGAAAGACAAAGGTACTTTGTCCATTGCTTTATGTCAACGCATCTGATGTAGGAATTGACACCAGTGTTGCCAACTTCTTAGAATGGAAAGTAGATATTGACTGTCCTAGAAGTCACCAATGATGTCATCATCTAACTTGCATATTTGGTCAAAGAAGAGTAATGAAATAAGAATAAAAATGAACAAGAAACACCATGTGTTTAGAACTATAAGATGAGTTTATGCTGTCATTTATTGTCATTTTATTAATGTAACAATTCCAGTCATATTAATCTGGGATTGAAATCAGCAAAACAGGCACTCAGGATTATTTTAACCCAATGACTAATTTAGACATGAAAAATGTACATGTACTGTACATCTGAACTGACCAGGGCAGGATCAGCCAGTGGCAGCTTTCGACAATGTATTTGAAGTTTGGATGCTGGGTGAGCCTTTCCTGCTCTGTCTGTAGCTGGGAGGTACTGCTGAACAAGGACTTGGTGGATTGACTGAGTGTTTTGGGGTGGAGAAAGTTGCCCACTGCAGCGCCCACTGTTCCTTGAGAAGAGTAAGAACAATAAGTGCTCCGAAAGTCTCCAATAACACCAGGAAGAAAACAACTAAATTTGTTGCTTTTTGTAGGAAGAGTCACCAGAAGGGTCAACATAGTTGCTAAATCAATCAACAAAGTTGTCAGTGTGGCAACAGTGCAGATTCATGAAGTCCTCCTGCATTCAAGTAGAGTTTAAAATGAAAAATAAACTAAAAAACAAATAAACAAAAAATAATAACTTAGGCTGTACTTATAGGCTGCTGGATACAACAGTGGTTCCCAACCCTGTATTTCTATATTTTAGGGATTTTTATGTACAAGCAAATTCAGTGTTGCCAACATAACTTTGTCACTGTATATCAAGTTTTCAGACCCCTCAACAACTTCTCTTTTCAAGTGTTAAATTAGTGAGTTTTTTCAATGTTCTTGGAGACTTTTGGAGGCTTTGGTAATAACACCTCAGCTAGCAGAAGCCATGTTTCCATCAGCGTTTTTTAAGAGGCATTTTTGAAATATCGCATCAGAAAAGGTGAATGGAAACTGCATGATTCAAAAAAAACTTTCTCTAATTTGCATAAAGGTTGATATGCTCGCTTGAGGTGGGGTTTTTTTCGAAAAAGACTTAATGTGCAAAAGGAGAGATGGAAACACATTTGTCGAATAAATTCTGACATAGCGAACATTTATCTCACATGTTGATCAACTGTCCTCACTGTCTTTCCGAAACCGGGACTGATACCAGAGCAACTGCTTGGTTGTTTGTGCCAACAGGGGTCTTTGGGTCGGGGGTCTGAGGTTAACATGAGGGATCAGGATTAATGGTTAAGTTTAGATACTGGGGTCAGGGATAGGATGTCTACAGTGAATATGAGGTAATTTTAGGCTTTGGAACACATACTGTAGTTGACGTGAAGTTCCTACATTTTCTAAAAATGGTTCATTTTAGGTACTAGGGTCAGGGACAGGATGTCTAAAGTGAATAAAAGTAATTTTAGGCTTTGAAACGGTAGTTCTTGCGAATTTTCTACACTTTCAAAAATTATGACAGTAGATTCTGCCCCATCTCGTCAAAAAATGACGCAAGGGGAGTGCCCGACGCGTCAAAATCGGACGCAGAGGGAACTTTGGAAAAGCGTCAATATGTGACGACTCTGGAGTGAGAATGGGTTGGCCTGACTTATAAACTGGGATGTAATTTGTATTGTTATTTTTTTTTTCACCATCACTGGCACACTAAAATAAATCCCTGGACTCGGCTACATTTGACTCATAGCCTCAGTCGCTTCTTCACCTCGTCCTCCGCCTCTGTGACATCTAACAGTCTGTTGGTTCAATTTAATGTTCTCACGTTTATTTTTTTGTAATGTGGTCCTGACCAAACCATTAAAGTCATAAAATCGTTTAATTAGGTTCATTTGCAAGTCTATTTATTTTTCTTTTGGACATTGATATATACATCTCTCCTACAGCCTAGATCACAATTAATGGCAAATGTCCAAATATACAAATTAGATGATGACTTAATGTAGCAACTTCTAGAGGCTTTTAGCATAGCCAATAGCAACTTTTCTCACTGAAGAGATGGCAACCATACAAAAAATATATGTTTTCACAACCGCTGACCGGACAAGGTTATGGGCCCCCCACCCCAATCCCTAGCTCTCTGATGCACCCCAGGTTGCGAATCACTGCATTGCACAGTGACTAGAATGTAAGAAGTAAATAAACAAGTGAACAATTTTAACATGGTCATACGCTTTGCTCAAACTGAGGCCTTGTCCACATGGGAATGGCATTTTACAAATATAAACAAATTTTCTTTGTTTGTTTTTCAGCTTTGCATCCGCATGAAAAGCAAGCGTTTTTGCTAAACAGATACTTAGAAATAGGCTAATTTACAACAATATGCTTTAAACATTATGAGGAAAACTCTTCCCGTCCTCATTGATTACTTTTCTGTTTCTAGTTTTGTTGCAGTGTTCCAGCAGCACATGCGGGTCTGGCGTAGTCACTACAGTTTTGGGGTTATTTCCTCTGTTTCCATGTGGATGGAAACATTTTTGTGATGTTTTAGGAACAGCAAATAAAGCAACTGTTTTGGAAAATAAGCATTCTTGCATGTGTTTGAGGCTGCTCAAAATGCCATCTGTAACAGGTAAGATGTTCATTGTTCACAACCTTTCCACAAACCCAAACTGTCCCTTTAGTTCAGTTATTTCGACCTAAATCAGCTGGTGAAAACAGAAAAGTATAGCTCTAGTGGTTTAAAATGTTTGTTGAAATAATTCATTCTCCACCCAAACCACTAATATTTTAAACTCCTCAACAAGCGTCCTGGCAGCTGCGCGCCCCGTCATTATGTTCAGATCTGCTCCCACATCCCGGCAGATTTTCAAATCCCGACGTCCACCTGTGTTTTCTATGACCTGCTGCTGTTTGGGTTGCGGAAGAATAGGAGGGTCCGCGGTGCGGCGGAGGAGAAGGCAGTGAGTCAGTGGTACAGCAGTCGGGGGGCAGGGCGGTACAGGGAAGCAGCGCCGCCTCGGAGCGCGCCGCGCATACCGAGGAGACCCGCTAATTGACAGCCGGAGGATCGGAGCGCCCCGCGCGGCTCGCGTTAATCCACCCCCCCACCCCACACGCACACACAGACTGGTCTCATCGAAGGCAGCAGAGGAGTCTGGCGCTAAGAGGGAGGATTTCATCCACCAACCGCTTCGCTTTGGACCTTTTCTCTCGCGCAAAATAACAGGGGGGGGAAAAAAGAAGGCTTCGACGCTCCACCCTGTCCTGTCTTCACCTGTCCGGTCCAAAACCGTCTGTCCTTACTAACTATCGTCATATGGATGGACAAAACGAACCAGGTTGCATTTAGCATCTGGACTTTTGGATATTTCCTTTTCTTTGCTTTCCTTTTTTTCCCCCTTACATGGAGTAAAACACAAAAAACTGCACTCTTGGATGATTTTGTGTGTGTGTGTGTTTGTGTGGGGGGATTCAAGCATCATATTGATGCATTTGGGAGTCAAGTTAAACATCCTCGGAGCTGAAAGCAAAGACAGATTTATTAAGTGGAATGGACGCTGAGGAAACTCTGGGAAGACATTTAAGTTGCGTTTTGGTGCGCAGTTTGCGCTGCTGCTGAACTGCAGGAGTATCTTTTTACGCCTTTACTGATGGTTTTTTTTCCTTCTCTCTCTCTTCTTTGATATGGGTTTAACCTCCCAATTTCCCTATGGAATATAGGCTGAATCAGTGAAGACTTGGAAAAGGGGCTTAGAAATAATAATAACATTGTTTTTCCTCTGTAGCCTGGAATAAAACAGGCGGATCTGATGCGCACGTTCTTCTTCTCCGTGGGATGGTAAATGACCGATGGGGAATCATGAACAGCTCTTCTGAACTCGAAGATGGAACTCGGCACAAAAACCAGGTAGCCTATGATTTTTGCACATCATCATCATCATCATTATCATCATCATCATCATCATGCAGCCTGCTTTATGATCGCGCGGTATGCGTTTGTGCGCGCGCGCGCGCGCGCGCGCGTGTGTGTGTGTGTGTGTGTTGATGAGGAGTGGTGCATCTGCTTGGTGCAATGTTACCACTCTGAATTTGGTGGGATGCCTGATGGGCAAAATCACTGCACTGTGGAGAGACTGGCTGCTGATCAGCTTCAGTCCAAACCCACAGAATCACAACTTCTGTTTAGCCTGGATGGGGATTTTTTTTTGATAATCTCAATGAAAAGGAAACAAACAGGAGTTTAAAAAAATCACTGCAGGGGGGGAAATTTCTGAGCTGGCTGCACCCGCGTTACACTCCCTTCCCACATGAATGCTCAGGCTTACATCTTAATGTCACATCTTTTGAAAGAACTGAAACTTTGCTCCAAAACGCCACATTTGAGCTTTTTTTTTTCTTTTTTTAAAGTCTTGTCTCTCGCTCAGATGAATTGAAACAGAAGCAGGACGTGCGTTGTGTGTTACAGTCAGGCAAGCTCACTTTGGGGAATAGTCAATGTGTTTTCACAAGGTCAGTAGAGGGTTATTGACAGCCCATAAGGGAGAGAGGGGGGCTCCCGTGAAGCGAGGAATCGGATTTCAGGAGTGTGGGGGCCACTATTTAGAGCTTGTTGCCTTCGCCAGCAACAGAGGAGCAAAAATACCAGGAGCCCATTTCTCCTGCTGTAATTAGATGGAGGACGGGTTTATGTGTGCCTCATTTCTGAAACTTGATGTAAAAGACTTCGACAAAAGAAATGTATCAATTTAGCAAGGGTTTGACAATGAACGTTTTCAGAACTGCCATTTACTAAAAGCCCCACTCCCAGTAATAAATAAATAAATAAATAAATAAATAAATAAATAAATAAATAAATAAATAAATAAATAAATAAATAAATAAATAAATAAAACTCATAAGAGGCATGTGCTTTTCACTGTGCAGGAGTTCCAATAAATCTTGCCGGCGGCACATTTCTGAGAGACGTTATTTACAGAACCGGCATGGGAGGTGTTGCTTCTTGACTACCTGGTGTTGCATTAAATCAGGCCTGTGCAGGTGCTGTGGTCGTTACAAGGCTGGAGTTCTCTGCAGAGCTTCAACTAGCTGGATTTCCCTTTATTCACTGGGGGCCACCAACAAATTCATTCAGGGGCCAAAACTTTCAGAGACTGTGGGGGCTGGGTTTTGAATAAAACAAACAAAAAAAATAGATTTAATAATCCTGTTTAGTAAAATGTCCATTTTCTTTACCCACTTCTTCCTTTCTGGGTTGTGTGGGTCACAAGTCCATCAGGCCACATAGACAAACACCATATACTCTTACTCACACCTAGGCACAATTTAGAGTTACTAGTTAGCATAACTTCCATGTTTTAGGTCTGTGGGAGGAAACTGTAGTACCCAAAAGAAACCCCATACCTACAAACTCTACCCAGAAATGTCCCTGAACAGGATTTGAACCATGTTACTGTGAGTCAAAAGTCACAGGACAGCCTTTTATTTCAGATACAAATTGGAAAATTATATTTCTGAATAGCCCATCAAGTAATGGGTGAGGGGACCTGCTTCTTGCCCTTGATCCAGCATGGTGGCTTTCAAGATGGTGGCCATTCTGGACATTGCCTAAAAGATGGGCCTCTTTATTTGCTGAGGTATTCAGATATGTCATGTTCCATTTTGTTTCTGAATTAAGAGTGTGCTGTTACTTTAGACTCACCCTCTATTTTTTTATAAGGGTAATGCCCATTTTTGGGTGGTAGTGGTGGTGGTGGTGGTGGGGTATTATACAAAATCAACATTTTTGAGCTTTATATCATGTTATAATGTCCTTCCATTATCAAAAACTTACCCAGAGTGTTGTTTTGACTCATTCACGGATGTTTGATAAATCTTTGCAACTCCTATGGTAGCCTTGTGAAGCTGCTGAAACGCTTGCGGGTGCAAAGCACCACCTATTTGTACCTAGCTCCTCCCATGTGCTCAGTCTGCAGCCAAGCTCCTGCTCCAAAGCATTGTTGTGAAAAAGTGCTGAATTGGGAGTGTCTAAAGCAGTAGGAGGTTCTAACAGAGGCCAATTTCAAAGTGTTTAGATAGGTTGTGATGCAATGTCAAATTTATTTTTGATATAAACAGCATTTTCATAACAACTGAAGGTGACATAGTTATTTGACTGTGGTGTAGAATTGAACTATGTGCCTGGAAAATACACTCCCCCCTCTCATTAAGTGGAAGAAGAATGAATATTTGTACTGGGGCCATCCTGTGTGGGTGCTGTTTCCCTTTCACCCTCAACTTCTGCAACCTCATTTAGTTCTTAGTCTTAGAATAGATGTCAATATGAAAACTACAACTAATATTGTAAACATACACTTCACTCCAGTGGACTTGGATAGGGTTCTCTGTAACCCAAAAGTCCCTCTCGGACCACCATTTGATGATCATTGTTCTGAGCCATGAGAGGCACATTTTTGCCTTTACCACACACAAGCCACCTGGATTCTTTATACCCATTTAATTTCCAGATAAATACCAAACTTGTGCTGCACAGTTTTGTTATTTTTTGTGCCTTTCATGTACACAAATCCCAAGTCCCTGAACTAGTCAGGTTTGAGTAAAATAATAGTGCATTTTTATTTTATTTTCTTGATAAATATCCTGTAGTGCTGAGTGGCGAGCTTAAAAAGATGACAAGGCAAAAACAAAACAAAAAGTCGGTCCCACAAGTTTAACACTTATAGATCAGACAGCATCAGTGGGTGCTGAACGAGATGAGAGGTGGTGGGGAAATGAGGATGGCTAATGCTTCTCTCCGTCCGTCTTCCACATCCATCTGTCTCCTTCCTCTGCTCTTGTTATTCAGCTGTCGCAGAGATTCACATAAATACGTTTGCGTGTGTGTGTGTGTGTGTGTGTGTGTGTGTGTTCCCCATCTCTGTCTCTCTAATCTTGAGTGGTAACACCAAACCTTTATCTTCACACTACTGACACAGTCATTTCAGATGCAGCGGGGAGGTAATACAGATCTCCAATAGTCCCAATCTGTGTGTTTTTCTTTCTTTTTTTATGTTTTTTTTCCAGAAGCATTGCTTGGGATTTTCTGGCGACTCTGCATGTTTGACTCTCTGCTGAAGGTGTGATGTTTCTGGTCCTTTTTTTCTGTGACAGATGGAAGCCAGTAACAGTTTAATGGAGATTAAAACGACACTTTCAATCAGCTTTCAAATCTAATTTCCCTGGATAAAAAGCAACTAAGATTGAAGTGAGGTGTTCAAAAATGCTTCCAATTAAAATGATCCTGGGTGAACCCAACAGAGAAACATACACATAAGGCTTTTTTTTTTTTCTAATGGAAAAGAGAGAAGAGTCAAGGCTACTGTGGAAATTTAAACCGTGATGTGAATCATATCAACAGGGATCGATAGACATACTTTGCTTTCTTGTCTTTTTTTTCTAATTGAATGAAAATAAGAATTTAAAAAATAAAGATGGGTAACTATGCTGCATGTTTGGTTGTATTTCTGTTATTTACCGATCATGGCCAGTGCTTTCAGACAAACAGACAGTAAAACTGAGAAGGCAGTCAGACCCAGTGGGGTTGCCCTCTCGGACTGGAGCTAATCAATACCTCTCTGAGATTTCCAAACTTTTTACACCACTTTAATGACGGTTTGTATGGACAAAGAAAACAGAAGAAGAAAGCTGGGCCTTATCAGCTCACATAGAACTTAAGGATCATAACAGTTTGTTTGTTAATACAACTCAAAGCTCATTTTGGAACCTACAGCACATCACGAATGGATCAAAGTCAAAATATTTTGACCGCTAGGTAGGCAAACTCATCAGACAACAAAGGTTTGTTTATTTCAAAACCATCAGATACAAATTTGCAGGCTGCACACACGCCCTTCTAATATCTTATGTCGTTCACAAAGACACTCTGCAGCAACCCAATTAGAAATTATATCAGGCTCGCATGTCTCCGCCAGGCTTTATCTGTCTGCAGTAACTCACTTAAATGCACGCCCACATGTGGAGGCACAGACTGTTGTCACTTCAACGGCATCATAATCTGCCATTTTGTCAAGACCCTTGGCATTACAAATCACCGCGGAGAGAAGTCTACGACGCCAACTGTCAGCTTGCTACATTATTGTTCTGAAGCTCAGATCGTTTTTCTTATTACAATGAAATAGCCCTGAGGTCTAACGCTCACTAAATAATTAGTGAAAACAAAGGTTATCGCATGATGTGGGGGGAAGTAAAATAACAACAACAATGTGACAATTGATGGTTACAAACTGATCCCGAGTTTGGGCTTGATTGTTTGAAACAAAAGTGTCCTGACATCACAACTGCTTCAGGTTCTGTCCACACTACTCCAAATACTGTATGTTTTTAAATAGGATTTTATTTTGTTTACAAAAATGTTATTTAAATAAAACTCAATCAGCACAATTTGTTACAATGTGGCAATAAAATCCATTTTAGCAACAATGAAGCAAAAAATGTGATGTTCTTAGGCTGGCTATATAT